TGTGAGTGTCCCAGAATTTTGGATGTTTGCGGAAAGAAGGACTATGGTGAATCTCTCCTTTCTAAGCCCCTCCCTGAGAGTGGAGAATGGGGTCAGATGTGAACAGGTGCAAATTCGAGAACTCTGGTGGAGATGGGGAAGTCTTGACTTTTTGACTCCATATAGTGACAGCCCCAAGACCTGGGACCAGCCCTGCCACATGCCCCAACTAGCGAGCAGCTTCCCACCTTTTCTCTCTCCTTTTGTTCTTTCCCATTTATTTTGTTCTCTTCTTTGGACACCCACATAAGATAGGGCCTCATACTCTACTTGCTTAACGGTCACCCTTCTCCTCCTTCTTCCTCTAGTCATGTTTTGCCCATTAATGTGAAAATTGTCAATTTCGTTAGCCTCGTTTCACTCAGACAGAAAATTCAGATTTTCCACAGCACTGTGAAAAACCAGAAGTAGTTCGGGAAGGGGACAGAACTTTCTAGATTTGTTGCTCAAGCTCACTGACAGCAATTGTTAATTTACTTAACTTAAAGGACAGAACTATAGAAGAAGCCACTGTGGCCTCTGGGATAGTACAGAATGGTCTACTGGCAGCATAGAAGTCACACTGCAGGGGGCTTAGCTCTTGACAGAGGAGGAGTTGGAAAGATGGTAAGATGTCCTCAGGAGTCCCAAGAATAGAGAAAGAATTATTCTTAAATATGGAGGTGAATTGCATGTTTCCTGGCAGAAAGGAAGGAGTCAGTAGAAAGAATTAATTTGAAGAATAATTAGTTGGTGGTGCAAGGCTTCTAGGAGTTAGGAGATAGTGAGGTCTAAGGGAAATGGAGAGAGTAGCTTTTGAGAGAGGAGGGACACCTCCCTCACAGAGAAAGGAGGCATCTTTGGGTTCATACCAGCTGACTTTAGAAGAATTTGGAGACATTGTGGGTTCATACCAGCTGACTTTGATCTTGTTAATATTCTGCTGAGACTTAGGGCATAGGGATGAAAGCTTGAGAAAAGTGGGAAAGATTTGGAATGGATGAATCATGTCCCCTGATGGTGGGCCAGGTGTGTCATCTTTATTTATGATGGGCTACACGTCAACATGTCTTAAAATAGGAGCAACTGGTGTCAGAAAATAACAAAAGCCTAGCCTGAAGGAGGGAATAGTTCTAGGAAAAAAATGTAATCAGCATGCTTTGAAAGTTTACTGAGTATACAAGTCTTTCTAGAGATGCTTTGTAAAATGTATTAGAAGACCTAGATTATAGCACCAACTCAGCTACTTAATGACATTATTGTCTGTGGCACAATCATTAATTATTTCCAAGTCAGTGTCTCCATTTGCAAAATGGGCATCCATTAATCCACTCAATAAGTATTTATGGAATGCCCACTGAATGTCAGGAGCTCTGTTAGGGATTGCAGGCACAATAGTCAGCAAGACACTGTCCTCGAGTTTCCATCAGCCCAGGGGCTTCCTACTCTGGTTGCTTTATTGGAAGCTCAAAGGACATAATACATCTGAATGTACTTTGAAAAATCTGGAGCCCAGCTGTAGAAAAAAAAATCTATAGGAAAGTAAATTTTGTTCTTGACTTAATTGTCCTGTTATGATCACAATCCTAACAATGATTGTAGCTTCTGAGTAGAAGACTGTACCTCCCAATGAAGGCTTGTGGCTCTCTAGGGCTTAGACCCTCTTCCTACACAGCTTGCCAGCCAGGCATGGAAACCGTTTCCTCTCACTGGAAGCAGGGAACATGGCTTTACACTGGGCTCAAGATACCCTCACTCCTACCTCATGTCTCCAATGACGGGTCGCCCTCCTCCTGCGGCTGGCTGCTCTGAAGACATCAGTGCTAATTCCAGGAGGGGCACAGCACAGAGCTGTCCCAGCAGCCATGTGTGAACCAGAGGAGCTCTTTGATCTCCAGCCTGGTGCATTCTTTGGGTGTTCAAAATTTTGGAAGGACAAGCTGGAAGAGTTTGTCTGATGACTGGAAGCCAGGTCAAAGGTAATGTTCTGGAGAGGGAGTAAAATTAGGGAAACATGCCTTTTCTTTTTCATGGCTAATTCCAAAATAGGAAAAATATTCCCTGAAATGTATAGAGGAGCTCTGGGAAGTGTCTATCATTATTACAGGGATGGCTGCAGTTTTAATTTCTTTGTACTATACCCAACTTTATCATAGTCTTGCTCCATGTTTCTGCTTTATCAAACATTCAGTTATCATCGGTGGTAGAAGGCAGTGGGAATTTTTCCCTTGTGTTCAGGCTATGTTCCACCTTTAGAAGTCCATTTCTAAAACCAGGATTTCTCAGACAAGAAAAGTTACAGGCTGCAGATTCGGGTGACAAGCAGAGGTTGGGAGAAAGATGAAACTGTGGCCGCTTTGCTTGCTGCTCTCCATCTTCCTCTGTGCATCTATAAGCCAATCCAGAAATCAGGTTCCTACAGAGCTTATCAGGTAAGGGCACAGGCCAGCCACCCCACATCTAGATGTGAGAAAAGCAGCAAAAAGCAGTGAAGAAAGCGATTTTCTGGACGTGCATCTCTAAGTTATTCTTTTTAGTAATTCATGTGATTCTTAGGTATCTGGGTAGAATAGTATACTTGCCAGAGTTTCTTCCCCAAGCCCTGGTTCTTGACCTTCCCATGTGCCTGACCTCCTTCCTTTTGTCTCAGATCTCATTATCTCAAAAGACTTAATATTTATCTGTTAAAAGCAGAAGCTCCCACACATGGTAAGGGAAGGAAGGTTTTGTTAATTTTTGTCACATGACTCCCTGCTTCCCTTCGTCTCCCCTTCCCTCCACCGCTTCTCTTGCCCTCTCCTGTTCTCTGGTTTGCCTTGACTGTGAATATTCTCCCAGGAATGACCCTGACTTTGAATGCCTGAAACAGGGAGGGCTGGGTCCCTGCTGTGTCGGGAATGACACCATTTCTCTCTGTCATTTCCCCAGGAACCTCTGCGTACTGGTGTGATTTGTTTCTCTTTCTGGGCTTATACAGTTCATTTCTCTCGTAGTGCTCTGCTCTGCATGGGTCTCTATCAAACTTTCCATTTAATTCAATCCCACACATATTTACTGATAATTATGTTTGATCCAGTGTGAGATCAAGATGTGAATAAGACTTTCTCTCTTTTCTAAGGAACTTAAAAATGTTTGTGGGAGACAGCCAAGGGCAGAATGGGCCAAATTCTTATAATAGAGATCCTGTTGGACACACAGAAGAAGAATTAACTGCAGGTACACCCACATCCCCACAAAGTGGACCTCTCCATTCTGCCTCTTTCCAATTTCCAAACTCCTACATCACTTATTTTGGTCTTAAATCAGCACTTTCCACAATACGTTCTTTGTAACACTAGACTGAAGAGATGCTCTGTGAAAAACAATTTCATGATCAATTAAGAATAGGAAATACCGTACACACTTTCTCTTCTTGGAAATTCACAATGCACATCCACAGAGCCAAGGTTTTCACCAGCAGAGGAGAAGAAAATTCGTTTAACCCAGAATTTTCCAACCCTGTGTGATTACAGATCACTTTCTACATACCACTTTATAGGAAACATGTTTTTTTCAGACTACACTCTTGGAAATGCTGCTATAATTGATTAATTAAATGATGAATATGAAAATGTTATGAAAATCCCATTTGTTCCTAAGATCTTATTTCTTATCACCATACAAAAAGACCTCTCATACCAGCTGGATTTTTAAATGCCCTAGAATTTTGCTGTCTAGGATGGTAGCTATCTTCACACGTAGTTCATCTCAGTGAGATGCACTGTAACTGTAAAACACACAACAGATTTGGCAAACAATATGAAGGAAAATGCAAAATATCTCATAGTAATTTTATACTGATTATATATTGAAATAATTTGGGTATATTTGCTTAAAAACCTGATTGAGATTAACTTTGCCTCTTTTTTATCTCAATAAAAAATTATATTAAAAAAAACAAAGTAACAATTGGTAAACCTAACTTACCATCAGCAAACAGTAAATAAACACCACCATACAATAGAAAAAGACTTTTAAGGAAAATCAAGTGGCATTTCAATTACTTTTGCCAACACGTTTATGAGACTACACTATCTCCCTTTCCTCCGATAATATTCAGAGCTCAACCTCTATAATAAAAAAAATTAAAAGGTTTAGGAATTTAACTCTACCTCTTTTTTTGCTTTCTTAATGGGTCTACCAGAAATTTTAAATTACATATGTGGCTCACATTATATTTCTAGTGATAGTACTGGCCTAGAAATATGAATTATATTTTTCCTGCATTTTATATTTTCCTATGGCACACAGAAAGATGCTGTGCTCAGTGAAGATATTTGAAACATACTTGTTGACTGAAATAATTTGGTTGGCAAGGTTACAGTTTGGTTGGGAGAGCTGGTGAACTGACTCTTCTCCAAGGTGTTCGTGCTCTGACTCACTGCTGTTCCCACTGTGTGGGTTGGTCCTGCAGTTCATTCCCTACTTTGGCCTATAAGTCACAGAGAACAACGTCCAGTAATGCTGAGCTGATACCAGCCACCTGAGACCCCACTTGTTAGGTCTTCTGTGATCCCCAGTCAGACTGCTAATGTGCATTTGCAGTTCCCTTTCAGCGCAACCCTTCTGATAGCGTCTCAGTAAATTTCAATAGTTTGCAGGTATTTACAGGTTGTGGAGTTATCCATGAATGACCACGGTTTCTCATACGCCAGAATCCTACTCCTGAGTGAGTAGGGAAAAAACAGAGTTTAATATCTCCACTGTTTTGACCATGGTTGCTTCATAGGACTCTTCACAGATATGTCCTGAACTCTGAAGGTCATTGTAATTAAGCAAAAAATAACTGATTTGGCCTGAGTTTTTAGTTACTGACAGAAATGAACCTTACGATAAAAATCACACATTGTGGTAAGTCATGGCACATCTGTAAGATAATTACTCCAATGAGTGGCATTTTGTAACCACCTGTATCTCTAGTCAGGGGAAGGGGTTTGAGATACCTGTATTTCACGAGCATACAGAACAACCCTGGCCCAGTGAATTCCAGAGAATGGTGGGAAGGCAGCCTTGATGGCAGCTGATGAGGAAGTTGCAACTGAAAGGGAAAAAGCAAGATCGGGCAATGCTCTCCAACGCATGAGTCAGATTTAAAAAAATAGGAAAAAACACCATAGAAAATAAACTGCAGATGTTTTCAGTCAGACAAAAGTGTGCCCACTCCACTCACACTTACCATCCGAGGATAATTATAATGAAAACGGATCTAATATACTTTTCTCTCATGGAGAAGCATAGCATGTGTTCAGAAACAATACTGAATGTAATTATCAAAGATGAGCTTTCGTTTAAGAAACTCAGAAAGTCATCAAGAAAGATGCATGCCCATGACATGCAGGAATTTGCATGTGAACAATAAGGCCTCTCATTTTGTCAGGCCAGTCCTATGGGGTCTTTTGAGATTTTCTAGTTTATGGATGCCAAGATGTAGGGTACAGAGGGGTTCTGATCCTTAAATAATAGAATACTCTGCTGGAAGCATCTTGTCTTTTGCATAATAACTACCATCCCCAAACACTATTTTCTGACTTTCTTTATTGTAATTGCATGCTAAACAAGATGGATCAGTCTTTCTCCATCTCAATCCTACCACATTTTGTTACTAGATTAAAACTCTGAAGTGCATTTCTGAACATATCTCCCCAATACCAAAAAACTGTCAGTGATTTTTCCAATGGCATTAAACAGGCCATACTCCCTATCCTGACCTTTTGGTTTTTGGAATCTGGCCCAATCCTCCATTCTAACTTTACACCCATAATCAATTGTGCATACTCCACAGTCTAGCCAGTGTGGGCAGCTTGCTTCTGCACCTCTGTGGCCGGGCAGGCCCACGCTCCAACTCTGCACAAGCAGCTCAGACCAATTGTCCCAGCCTCTGCCAGGCCCATGGCTCTCCCGGCCGCAGGGATTCTGTCCTCTGGCTCCTCGCAGCCCTTTCAGAAGCAGGCTTCCAACCCCTCCCTTGTATGCATGTTCATGTGCGTACACACCCCCCACTCACCCAAATGTAAACCATTATTCTGGCTGAATTAAGTCCCAGTTCTTCTGAATATTAGCTGTGTGACTTTGGCCATTTACTTAATCTCTTCATGCTTGAGTTTCCTCAAATGTAAAAATCAGGATAGTAATAGCACCTACTTCATAGGGTTGTTGTGAGGAACAGATTTCTGCAAAGTGCTGAGAACAGTGCTTGATACACAGGATGCCTTTTGTAAGCGATCTGCTAGTAGCAGTGGTCATAGTAAAAGTATCAGCAATGTTACTAGTTTTGTATCCCAGAGCACTTCATGTGATCTCATGCATTGTAACAGATCAATAAACATTTGTAGAATAAAAGAGTAAGTAAATGAACATAAAGCAAGAAATTTTAAAGTGAGAAGCAATGCACTAATTTGTAATTATTTCTAAAAACTGCTTTAGGAATTCTCTCTTAATGATGTCAGGACTTACTAGATACTCTTTAGGAAAAATATTATAATATTTTAAATGGAAAAACTAAAATAAAAACAAAGCTCTACTGTTGGCAATTTGTGGATTTATTACTTTTTGAAAATGTGTATGTTAGTGTACAAGACAGGAGAAGCTAACATTTATCTTTATATTGGCTCTCCTTAAACTGCAAAAAACTTTTGAAAAATGAAAACTGAGTTCAGTTAAGGCTGAATGACAACTGAATGGAGATCCTTCACTTTCCTAATTGCTTTTATGCCCATTATCTCATTAAACCTTTTTTGTTCTATGAGCTAGACTTGCAGGAAAGCATTAAAAATAAAACCAAAAAAAAAAAAAAGAAAAATTAAGTGTGTTCTAAAATGTGGCCACAGCTCTTCTTCTCTGTCAGGGTACAGTAGCACAGAGATTGAAGAACATTCTCCAGCCTTCGAAAATCAATGTGCATTTTTCGGAGAACTGCAGCCTTTCAGTTACAGGATTTTCCCTGCTGTCTTATAACTATGTCCTGCACTAAATTTAACTTATCCCCAGACTCCTATTTAATTCTCACAGCGGGAGACAGGACTAGCCCAGCCAAATCTATTTTCCTAGATTATCTACAACTCTGCCCTGTAATGATTTACCTTCTCCACTATAATGGTCTCTAACTAAGCTTTAATAGATTTTTGCCACATAGCTGCTGCTTTAATCAGAGAAGAGAATTTTACGGATTTATCAACCGTGCTCTTTTTCAAAAGCTACTGATTAAGTATTTGCCTTATGGTTACAAGCAGCCAGAAGGTACAATGGAGGCTTCAGGAGTACCAAGCAGCAGTCTGCAGGTAGCTGTCATACAGGACCTGAAACAGACTGCATTCAGCTAGTGCCAACTGAGCAGATTAAAGCTTCAATTCTCCCCAGCTCGTAGCAACAGATGGCTCACAGCAATCTTCTCCCCACCATCTTAGTCACCGGGATTATTCTAGTCGACAGTAGCAAAATTCCTCCCTACTCCCCACATCCCAAAGCAGCTAAATTATGTCTGAAAACTGAATGACATGCTTGGCAAAAGACTATTCTATCATAAGACAGTGTTAACACACAAGTTTACACTGGCCTACTCAACCGGCAGACCTACTAAACTCCATCCCCTCCAGCCCTCTAGTAAAGTGGAAGCTTAAGCCGCACAGTCTCTCTATGTGCTACATTCGTGGCACCCAAACAACTGCCAAACACCACAATGAGGTTTCCTGTACTCCAGAAAACCTCTACTTCTCCACAGCCAATTTACAGTGTGTTCATGAGAACTCACGTTCAGACTGACACCAGCCAAGCTTGAAGTTTGATAGAAGTCAAGACACCAGGGATAAGCAGTGAGTATGGTTGTTGAAAGAAAAATAACCTTATGTTTATTTGTTTTATGAAGGAAAGAAGTATTTTCTTCAAAATTTATAGCTGTCTGGATGTCCTTCATATTTCTTAGACACATATGCAAATTTCCCTATCCCTTTAGCAGCCGTTAATGGGTGGAGATGAATGGAAATATTGAAGTAAATTTAGTTACGACTGGTCCATGACTTGTCCAAATTTTTCTACATTTGGCCCCACACCAAACATTCAATGAAGAACTTCATATTCTCACCTCAGTATAAGTGTGTTAGAGGTACTTCTTTTTTGACCTAAAATGGTGTTTTTAAAAAACTAGATCTTGACTTGAATTATGAACAGTAGGTATGCTGATATACCTTTTATCACTAGACAAATGGACAGTTTTTTGTTTTGACAAGGATTATATAATTGTAACTGTACAGTTACAGTGAAAGGTATTCCCCACCATCTCCAAGAAAAAGGAGATTAATTATAGAAGAAAAAAAGGAAATAGTACTTTTTTTAACCTACGTGTTTTCATAATCATATTGTTTAACTCTACACAGGGATTTCCTGGGTTAATATTGTAGATATCTGCTAAGATATTTTATCATGTTTATAAAGGGTCTGAGGTCTTACATGTTTGTGTTTCTATCTCCTAATGTGAATGAATTAACAGTCTAATAAGTAAAATCAGAACCATAGAAGAAAACCATACTACTTACAGAAAAACTAATAAAAGGGAAATAACAGGTCATTTATTTCTTCTCTAATGGAATTCAAAAATTAAAAACTCCTTTTCCTTTATGAGACATTAGGAAGTCCCCAAAACACAAACAAATTCAGATTCATTCTATTCTTTACATTATGTTTTCTAATAAGCAATGAGACATACTGAGTTGAAAAACTGACAGATTTCACAGGGAAAAAACCCCACCCAAACCGTGTTCTTCTGGTAACTGGAATGATTATCAGGCCCAGTTTTGCTAAGTGGAGACAATATATGCTCTGCTTCAAAGGCCTGGAAGGCTGGTAAAATAAATTTATAGTTCGGCCTGTGGTAATTAATTATTTTTAATCAGTATTATTCGGGTAGTGCCATACACATTTGTTATCACTATCTTTAAAAATATAGTCAGCTTGCTATCCACGGTAATAGAGGCCAAGCCTACACAGATAAATGATGTCCACAGATATTAATTCTAACTTTTATACACATGTAAGAAAATACATTTGATTTATTTCTGGGTTTTTATATCAGGCATTTCTTACTTTTGTATCCCAGTTTTATAGGTAACATGAAATCATAAGAATTTCACATAAATTAGAACTGGGATAAAATCTTAACCCTACCACTAACCCTGGAGAAATTACTGACCTTTTAAAGTCTTAAATTCCTCATCTGTGAAGTCGAGTTAATAACACTCAGTGGGTCATTGCGAGGCAATGTCTGCACAGCCCCGATCTAACCTAACACCCAGTAGGTGCTCTGGAAATGGCTTTTTCCCCCGTTTCTCCTACTTTTCTTCTGCTCTGAGTTTCCTCCCATACATCTGCCTGTAGCCTACTCTTTAGGATCATGGAACATATCATGTCATCACTGACATTTTCAGATGACCCACGAGAGGAGGAAAAAAATTAAAGAAGAACTGATTCAAGGTGAGCTTGATTTTATTAGTTGAGGTGACCCAATAGAAACTTCCATGCAAAGGAAAGAAAAGCTTTAACATTTACCAAACAAGCCTTAAAGGTATTAGGGGCCTGTCAATGGTTTGTTTTTTCAACTAAAGTAACCCAGCTTGTTCATATTTTCCACCATTTAGCTTGGTATCTTGAATACAGTGTTGGCTGGTCTGTCTGCTCTCACATTTCACTTTTGGTTCTTTCTCTTTTAATTTTTTTTATCAACCATTTGCTCATATTCATTGTAAAAACAAATAGAAATTAACCATAGTGATGGCTAAAATATAAACCACAAATCTGACTGAGTCAGAGGAGGTTGTTTTGGGTAACCCAAAATTCCATGTCTCTGTGTATTTCAGTCCTTTTGTCAACTTATTAAATGATATGTGAAATAGATCAGATGAACAGAATAAAAATTAATCTTCCTTAAGAGTTCTATATGCTCTTGGGAAGTTCCCAGATCTAAAAGGAAATTTGAACTAGGTTTTGAAAGCAGTAGTGTCTTAGAAGATTTTACTTGATGAAGTTCCCAGAAAGTACATTGGACGGGCC